GCACCCTGACACTGATTGGCTCGGCGAATAATACCTAATTTGGACGAAGCATTCGCCACAAAACGTGACTGACTTACATACACACTTATACTTTTTTTTTCTTTTTTAAACAAAAAAACATATGCAGTCTGCAGCTGCTCCGGAAATAACAGATAGGTTTATTCGCCGAGCAATTCGTTTTTAAACTGGTGCCACACGTAAGCTCATTGAGATTAAAGACAATTTTGCAGAATCAAGTACAGAGTACTCACAGCCCGTATTCACAGTAAACAGTTCCAAGCGAAACGTTTCACAAAAACATGCACAAACATCGAGAGCGAACACTCCTGTATTATGCAGCTTAGAATAAAAGACTGAGATGAAATAATTTCATATGATCACTTCCGCTAAAGGTAACTTTTAGCACTAGCGATCAAAATTGCAGGGAGTTCCTCTCACTCACCAGTTATCCAATAATTTCATATTAGAAAAACGAAAACATCCAAGAACAATTTTTTGAACTTCTGCAGCAGGTCACTGAAACACTATATCGCCAACGTCCACGCCTGTAACAAATCGAAGCTTTAAGTTCGGACTTCAAGCGAACAGCAAAAATATAAAAGAAAGCTGAACGCATGAATACATGAAGCTATCTGGGACCGGTAAGCTTAGAAACTTCGAGCAGCACGAAATAGAAGCATAGAAGGATTTCACTTGAATGTCATGTGTTTGAAGACATTTTATGACGCAGTCTCTGTTTCATCTCTTAGCTGTATAGACCGATCGAACAGTGCATGCGGGTAGGAGTGGGAATCATCAGTACAGCCTCCTACTCGCCATATTTTGAATAGTCATGTGTCTAATTTGCAAGACAAGTGACAGGAAGAAATAAATAAAAGGGGGGAAAAAACTGTATACCGGTAGCTAAAAGGGGCACGAGCACTAAATATCAATAAAGACCAAATTAAGTCTGGCATTCACAATCGCTTCAAGTATGTGGCGTAATTGGAAGCAAATCATCGACTCTCAAGCACGGCCACCACGATCCTTTCATCTTTCTACTGATAGTTAAAATGCAAAAGACAATGTTTCGTTAGCACAAACGCACAGAACTACCGAGGGACGGATTTGTTTCCAAAAATGGTCCAGAACCGACGAAAAATTCCGAGCTCAAAAGCAGCTTACCGATTGCTTTTACAAATGCAGAGTAGTCCGTGCACTGTGCAAGTTCAGCGTCAAAATAAGCAACAAAACTGGAGCACTTTTCCAGAATCTTCATGATATTTTTGCGCATCTGCTTCATCCGATCGCCTGCTTCTAGCTGTAATTCAAAAAAATTAGGAAAAATTGGAGGATGAAACTATTACGTTCACAGCTCACAAAAAACTGTACTGTGCAAGTAACAGAGGATGCATAATTTTACATCACTAAAATAATACTAAAATATGC